CCATTACTCGTCTGTTTCTGACCATACAACGCGTTTTTAAAGCTAGTCGACGAATTCGGAGAGGAAGGTTATGTAGTCGGACTATTAATGCTAACTGGGTCACGGCGGGAGGGGATGAATTGATGATGATCTCGGAGGGAGAGCGACATATTGTTCCTGTAAAGGCCCAACACGCCTTGCGTGTGGCTGCTCTCTTTTTTTATGTGATGAAGGGGAGATTCGGACCCGCCTGTTGCTCGACGCCGCGGCGTTAAAAAATTGAAACATATATTTCGCCACGGACTCGGTACTCAAGAACAAAGGACACACAACGATTTTCGTTCGAAACCAACTTCAACGGGAATATTTTTGAAGCAGTCGCAACCACTCTGGATACCTTCCCACACCCATTTTCCGCCGGCGTTCGTCGCAATATGTATATACATCAGGAATAGGTGATACTCGCATAAATCGACACTCGCCCTCAATTACGCTCACAAAACAGCACCAAATCGATTTGCAAATCCCGCGCGTCGACATGAAACGAAACGCAAATCAACTTAGGTTACACAGCCATGTCGCCCTTTCCTTCATCGTCCGCACTCAGAGCCATCCTGTTCACCCCCCCCGTCCCATCCCCGTTTGCCGCCGCCGCGTCCCCTCCCAAGGACGGCAACCCCGTCTCCTGCACCACCCCGCCGCTCAACGCTCCGCCGCTTGTTGCGCTCGGAAATCCCGCCGTGGGTAATGCCACCTGGTTGTGCTGCTGCTGCTGCTGCTCCTCCTCCTCCTCCACCTCCTCCAACCCCTGGTTCCGCTTTTCCAAAAGACAGGAGGACCCTTGGCACGGACCCCGCAGCAGCCCGTCTCTACTCGCCTCTCCTCCTGACGATGCCTCTTCTTCCACGGACCCTCCACTATCCCCGTCGCCCGGCGGCCTTTTGGAAGCACTCGATTCGCGGCTAGTTTCTCCAGCAAGCCCCCCTTCGACCGGCACTGGGGCTGTGTCAGAACCCCCCACCGAGCCTCCACGAGCGTCTGGTTCGTCCAGGTTAACGTTTTCAGGACGACTAATGCTGTCGGTCTTATTCCTGGGCGGCGTCAAAAGCGCAAGATCTTCAACAACGCCCCGAGAGCAGCTCGGGGTGAGGCCGGCGCCGTCAGCCCCCGCATCCACCACTTTCTTCTCGCTAGGACGCCGCCGTCCGGCACCGGGAGAACCATGTCCTTTGTCCCCCCCGCCCTCTTCGTCGGGAGGTTCCCGACCGCTGGTTTTCTCTTCTGCCTCGGGACCCGTTCGCCCGACGCTGCTACACCTATCGCTGTTAACCCCTTGCTCCTCTTCTTCTTCCGGGAATATTCGCGCGTCCCCGGTGCTAAAGGGCCGACCATCCCCTTGAGCTCTTGATTCGGCTGCTGCTGCCGCCGCTGCCTCCTTCTCCTTGGGCGCCTTTTCGTTGGCCTGTCGTCTCTCGTTCCTGCGCTCTTTTTTCCGCGCCTCCGCCCAGTCGTCTCGCCACTTCATTTCCGCCGCAAAGATCTCCTCGGTGGCCTCAAACGTCCGCCGTACCTCCGCCCGGTACCCCTGCGACGACGGGGTTTATAGTGTGACGAGGACAGCGTGGGGTTCGAGTGGAGTGCGGAAGCATCGGCGTGTTCTGTCTCTGAGTGGGAGCGAGCATCCTGATCCTCTCCATGAATGGGCAGGGTACCGGTTTCGTTTGCTCCCAGCGGCCAGTCGGCGTCCTTGAAGTGGCATACAGGAGGTAGTGCATGCGAATCAAGGCGCTGGAAACCGGCGAGGTAGTTCACACAACCCTCCCCTTCTGATTTCGTTGACAAAAGCATGCAGGCACTCGAAGCACACGTCCCACCATAACCAAGGCACGAATCGCAACGTAGTTACTCGCGATGGAGACGTCGGCTGGTGAGAGGTGTCATCTGCATCACTTCCAATCACTGGGAATGATTTTCTTGACCTGCTCCCGTATTTCAGTCCGCTGGGGTCCGCTTGGAACCGCCCCGACCCAGTACTTCTTCGAAAGCATTGGCCGCCCGTATCCCTTTCCACGGAATATACTCTACTCATGCAGCGGCCACTTTGCTATTTGGTCCCCCTCGCCACTTCGCCCGTAGTAGTCTCGTATCAACGGCGAGGCCTCATTGTTGCTCCCGTACAAAGAGCCATGCACATTGCCAAACCTTGAGTGTTTCTTTGGCCCTCTTCCTGGTCTTGTCCTCGATGGCGTCGTCATCCAACGCCGGGGTCACCACGATGCCGCTCAAGACGCCGACGAACCAGCACACCGCGGCGAGCACGCACGTCGCGAGGAACGCTCCCACGGCGATCAAGACCCCGACGGGCACGAGGGTCAGGATCAAGATGGGGCCGACGACGGCGAAAAGGACGGCGCCGCACGCCCACCACGCGTGTCTCTTGGTCTCTGCTGCTGCTCGGCGCGCGGGAAGGGCCATCAGCTGGTTGTGTAGCTTCTCCATCTCTTCCTACGGGGTGGGGCGGGGAAAAGGGTGGAGGTCGGGCGGAGGGTTATATTGTGTGGTATCGTCTCCACCGTTGAGTAGCACCTGGCCCATCCCCGTGAACAAAGACGGGCGGAAGGGCGGACTCACTACGCTTAAGCTTGTTCGTCGAACGCCTACACACGGCCCTTTTTACACGTTGAGCAGCATCGCGCTTACGCATTCACCTCTAACGAATGGCATTCGGCAGCGTGTACACGTGGGTGCGTGCTCCGCCTCTTAACCTTACCTGCAACACCTGTTCCTCGGCGATGCGACGCGCCTTAGACTTGAGAAACTTCTGGAACTTCGCCAACTCTTTGTCAAGGCTAGCGTGCGACGTGTCCCAAGCTTTTGCGTTGACACCGGCGTGGGCAGCCTTCAGTTGCTTTAGTCTCTCCCTCTCCCCGTGTACCTTTGTTTGAATGGGGTGTGCGAGCGGAGCCCATCGCAATGACCAGTGGGAAAAATTGGCGGGAGTGACGGGAAAACCCTTGAATCCGCACGCGACCGGTGCAGAAAATGTATGCTTTGCGACTGGAAATCCTCCCTCGAGCAACTGTCACTCATTATAGAGCCGTCACTTCATTCGGTTTGCGTACAAAATGGTGCGGCTGTGACCAGGAGGACGGCGTGGTAACAATCCAAGTTACCTCTTCTTCGTGGCGTTTCTCGCGTTCGGCGGTGGCCTTCCGGAGGAGCTTGGTGTAGGCGTCTAGCACAGTGGGGTTTGTCAGCCCAGGAACCTTCTTCTCGACGTAGCTGACGAGGAGTCGAAGCTGACCAGCATTCAGTTGCGATATCCTGCATTCATTCCATTCAGTAAATAGTAAAGCGTCATGGTGAATATGTGCGTGCCTCCCTTACGCGCATCGATCCGGCGGATTACGCCGGTTAGGGTGTGGGTTTTCTCTTGCGCAACTCTGCCATCCACCAGCACCGCCTACATCGTCGAGTTGCTGTGCTGCGAGTGAGTGGTGGGGCATCTCCTCCGCTTCCTATTCTTGGCGGTGGGCGACACCTTTCGGAATAGCAGGTTCCAACAGGTTAGCTACAGCTACCGTTCGGTAGGGAATACTGCTACAGTATATTTCCTCGTCGTGGGCAACTGCAAAGTGAAACACACGGCGAGGTGGGACTTCATCCCCCCGCTCCCAAGTCTGCGATCGATACAACACAACGTCTGTGGCGCCGGAAGCACATTTTAATGCTCGTGCCTAGAAAGGAGAAGCACTACTAGTTTACATTCGTGCACGGGCGTGTCTAGCTCCCGCCTGACCTTTCATCCATCTTTTCCAGCATCCCTGTAGCGTACATGTCTTCCGACAGGAGGCTCTGGATGAACCCGGCAATCGAAGGCATAGTATCTGCTGTAGCTGGTGCTGGTGTCGTTCCTTTGTTCGACGTCAACTCTCTTATTCGGCACACTCCTGAACCAACGCAGACTAACGATAGAGCGAGAGAAAATATTCGACCCAAACGATTGTCGTCGCGCCGTTGCTCGTCCGATGAGAGAGGTTAGTATGTGGAGGTCCAAGCTTGGGCGATCCATTCCAAAGAAAAGATCGCGCAGCAAGCAGGTGGCGATCGTCGGAAAGTGCCAGCACCGAGCACACCCATTGAGCTGATGATAACTGGAGCAACTACAAAAGATACAGCACACATCCATTTGTTCTCTGCAAGAGATGCATGGTACGCAACACGCACGCGACTACGTCATCATGCAATCATTGACGGCGACGTCATTCCCCAACCGCGACGGGCAACGGTTACGTGGGCATGATCAAAATCATGGGCTCATACCCACGAAAATACGGGCCCGTTGTTGTGCCGCCTTTCGAAATCATGGACATATATATGCATCCTGTGTGTGTGCTCCAGCACCAGAGGGGAAACGAGAATCTCAACGAATCCCTCCGAGAGAGATGTAAGTCGGCACCACAACAGCGTTGCCCATAACCAATCGAGGTGAGTGGAGCATCTCGTGGCGATGAGGGAGAATCGCTGATGGGAGAGAACGGAAAACACGCGGATGAAAGCAGTAGAGCGGTTGAGAGAGGACGACTGAATTATAGAGCTTGGGTTTGGACCTCTCTCGAGATCATTTAGCGGACATTTTGACTATGATCACCACTCTCCGGCGCTGTGGGATGTACCCGAGGACGTGTCTGGACCACCCCCCCCGCTGGAAGGAGGTAGCGTGGCCCTTGCGACGCAGCTGAGGGGCTGAAAACGAAAAACAATTCAAGTTTCTGCGCCAGGGAGGGAGGTCCAGTCTGCTGTGCATAGGTACATAAAACGCGGGAGGTTTTATTGGCTTGACCCCGAAAGAGAGTCTGATTGTGTGCGGGGTTTTTGATGCGCTCCTTATCTCTCTCTCTTGTTGTCGAACCCAGCAGGGCACAGGTGGGGTGTGTTCTGGGGCAGCAGGCTCTCCATGCTCGAACCACCGCAGCAGGACGTGACGTCCTTCAAGGCACGAACCCATCACGGGAGCGGGCAGAAGGAGACCTACGACCTCAAGGCAAGAAACGAGAGATAGACCCCCATGCCATCTTGCTATTTATGCAATTTATGTCCCGATTGCTTCCCCTGCTGTCTGAGAACACCGGCTGTGGTGTGTGGATACATGTCTCTGTCTTCTGTGTTGTAGAGAGCGGGAGTGACATCACGAGCGCCGCTGACAAGCTCCAGACACCAACTGGGGGAGAGCGTCCAGTTTTAGCCATGCGCACACACGCACACAAAGAAACCATTATGCTACTGCTGTACTGCTGTTGTAGAGAGCGAGGACGTGCATGCTGTCAGGGCCCGCCGGCTTCGGGTGTGCACTACAAGTTACAAGTACTTTCTGTGTGTGTTTATATTATTCCTTAATTAAGTACTGCTGTACTGCTTGTAGTTGCCTCATGAACGCCAGAATTGTTGTTCCTGTTTAGCTCTTTTCTCTGTCAAGCAGGGTATAGAATTGAAGTTCAAACAGCTGCTGCCCTTGAACGGCACCACCACATGAAAGGGCCGCCCCGGTGGTCTAGTGGTATCCTCGTAAACCGCTGGTCGCAGAGGCAGAGGTCGTGAGTCCGAATCTCCATGGGGTGAAAAATTTACAGATTTTGAGGGTGAAAGCGAAATGTAGCTGAAAAAGCTCTCGTGAGTTCCGAACTTCTACATTGGCACCATTGATGAGGGAAAGGGGCGGCTGGACCCTTCTCGCGATAAAAATAAAATTCAGCACGCACGGCAGGGGGGAGGTGGGGCATGAAAATTAATAAAAGACAAAAAAAAGGCCTGGTGTTTACCCCCTCCTGTGTGACCCTGAATGGTTGTAGTTGTACGAAAATATACACTGAAAGGTGTAGTATTCTACATACGCTGAAAAGTGTGGTACACGTCTCGCCACGAAAACTGGGGGGACTGTCGCCATAATAAATAGGACGAAAAGACACACGCACACAGGGTCAATCGGTTCCCCCTATCGAGTACATGTAACCGTTGATGATGACGTTTTCGATACCCCGCCACAGCAGCAGTAGCCATGCCCACGTAAAAGCTTGAACCGCGACTTTCGATTGCCCACCTACTCCCTTCCCCCGCGACTGACCTTGGTTGGAAATCATTAAAGTCCATCCCCCTGTGTTTGTTTGCAGTGTGTACGCATGGCACAAGCGACTGCATACAGGAAATTCGCACCACCGCTGGTATGCATAGCGCCTGTGGTGCAGGCACACAGATCAACGACATAGTATGCTGCCGTTGTAGCAGGAGTCTATGGTCTATGGGCGTACTATGCACCTATGGTAGATCCGACCGTGTGAGAGCAACAGAAAGCTTAGCATCGACGGAGCTTACTCTGTGCACCAGAGTCTAACGAAACGCCAATAATATGTCAGACAGAGGTTCTACAACACAAATTGCCTGCGCTCTTTTTTTTTCTTTTTTCTTTAATATGACACAACGAAACCATCTCTATCATAGAAAAGAGTGAGACAGATTAGCAATGGATTCATAGCGTCAGAAAGTACCTGTATGCCTGTGCTCTTTTGCTTTCTGTTCGGGCTTTCCACAGCTGTTCTTTCGAAAGGATCGTTTGTAGCTGAGGCGCTTTGCTTGTTGTTGCCGTATGCATACCCGCTCTCTTTCATGCAGCATTCCGGTGTAGCGTTTTTCGGCATGATAAACGTGTGTAGGTGTGTGAGCGCTGGTTTGAAGTGAAGGCACAAAAAATGAAAACAGCAGTGTGTCTGTTCTTCCTCATCCAATCTGGCGCCAGTCTACTTGTATGCATGCGCCTTTGGTACTTCTCGACACACACACCAATGTATCCGGCGGTGTCACTCAAGGGGGTTTGTATTGTTCTTGTTTCTTCCCACCTCCCCCCCCCCGCGCGCGCGGTGCGTGCCTTGCATGGGTTTTGGATGCGGGAAGGGTTCAGCAGTCAGCCCCGACCCTGCTGCTGTGTATGCCAACGAACCCTTCGCATTCCACCACGACAAGTATTAGGAAACATAAATACAAACACAGGAAGACTACCCATTCGAGATTGTGTAACCACAGAAGAAGTATGCATACAAGCTCTGCATTCACTCCCCCCTCCCCGAGGGGTATTCGGAACACGATCCCACAACCTGCTACAAGCTGTTTGGTTTACCACTGCAAAACCACCAACCACCAAGACGACCCCTATATGCAGCAGGATTTGTACATTCCCGCGCCAACATCCAACTGGGGTTGCTGCATCTCTGGGAACGCGCTCTTAGATGCAATGCATGCCACATCGATGCATGCACGGGGAGCAAATGATGACTGCAACAGCATTGTCAGACATGTTTGCAGCGGCAGCACATGTGTGCATATCATAGTAGACGACGGCTGAAGCCTCTCTCGCGTTGGCTGCACCGAATCGGGGCTCTTCACCTCACCGCCTAGCAGAGAGAGGCAAGGCCGCAGAGTAGCTGGGACAACGAAAACTAAAAAGAAGAAGAACATTGCGCATGTAGACTATTTATGCATAGGGTAGGTACCCATGCCCAGCTGAGGTACATACATTGCCAGGGCTTCTGTCAAGGTTGAGGTGCCCTACTATCGAGGGAGGGCGAACTGTAGTCATCACTACTGTAAAGGAGTAGAGGGGATCGGATATTGCGGCGGGTCCTCGCCTCCACTCCAAGCGATCACCCTTTCTTTTTTTCGGACGATGACATGACATGACATGACAGGCATGCGTGCTCCTCGAGGATGCCAGACCGCCGAACGACCGCGCCATAGAGGTGCCCCGCGAGATGAGGCTATCCCTTCTTCGCTGGGACCGCGCCGAGAAGGGGCGCCAGCAGGAGCCTCCGGAGGGGAGGGGCGCCGATGGTCATGAGCCGCGAACGCTTGACGCCCCGGAGGGGGGTGGGCGAGGGTGGCCGCCTCCGCCCGGCGAGGGAGGAGACGGTGACGAGGGGGAAGGGCGATGGGGGGTAGAAGCGGCTGCTACGATGGACGTGCCGTCTGAGGATGACCTGTGAGAGAGAATGGAGGCTTGTTTGGAGAGGGGGGGCGTTTTTGTTGTTGTGAGAGTTTTGGGTGATCGTGGTGGTTTGTTCAGAGGGTAGCGTTGTTGAGGTGTCCTGTGGAGAGTTTGTTAGATTCTCGTGGGCGGTGTGTTTTTAGGGGGGAGGGCGTTCTTTGCGGTGTGTCCTGTGGAGAGTGTGGATGATCGTGGCGACAGCAGTTGTGATGGGATGGCCAACCCTTCGTTGTTCGGGCGGCACGGTTTGCCACACAGCCGTGGGGGATGTTTGGACATTTTTCTCCCGTGCGTGCGTTCGCGAGCAGCAAGGATGTCGTCGAGCAAGGGTGCTCCTAAGAGCAAGCTTTAACACAAGTGTGTGCAGCAGGAAGAAGTAACGTGTTCCTTAAGAGCAAACCGAACAACGTGTGTGTGCTGAAAGAGTCAAATTTGTGATTATAGCGCGCCTTTCGTGGCCGCTGGTAACGTCGTCGGGCAAGAGCTCGCGGGCAAACTGAGAGCTGCTACGAGAAGCATTCCCTCTCCGTCTTCTTTCTGTATTGCATTGTCGCATGCACTCTCACTCAAACCAGCTCCCCGACGTGTAGAAGCCGAAATCAACCCCCATGATTATGTACTCAAGTGCTGACTAGAATTCGGTTTGATCTCGGCTTCCACAATGCTTAGTCGTGCGTTCGAAAACCCAGGCTGAACACTTGAGGCCCGCACACAAAACGAACGCCCCGTGTCAGGTTTCCAGGAGACCCGGAACAGAAGATGCGGGAGGAGATGTGGATGCTATGCAACCTAGATGAGCACCTCCTCTTGAGCCAGTTCCACGTACCGCCCCCGCCAGCGCAGCAGCAGCGGCTCCCGCCCCCCGCTACCGCGGCTATGGAAGGAAACTCTGGCGGCGACGGCGGCGGCCTCGTATCGAGCAACCCCTACCTTCGGCAGCCCAACGGGGTGCCGTTCACCGCCGCCGCCAACACCCGGGCCGGCGGCGCCTCCCCGGTGCCGGGGGTCGCCGCTAATAGCGCCGCTGTTGCTGGTCCCGGAGTAGGAGGGAGCGATGGCTGGCTGAGGGGGGGACGGGCAGAGAGGGACCACAGCAGCAGTAGCAACGGCATGCGGAACGATGACGCCGCCGTCCCTGCCGCCGATGCGCGGGGGGGAAGGGGCCCCGCCGCGCCGCCGCCGCCACCGCCGCTGCCCCCGCCGCCCATCCGGCAGCCGGTGATGCGCAGCCGGCGTGAGGAGCGCGTCACCTT